AAAAAAAAAAAAAAAAAAAAAAAAAAAAAAAAAAAAAAAAAAAAAAAAAAAAAAAAAAAAGATGGGTGCTGGTGGTCGTCGTCGTAAATATCGTGAGGAGACAGAAGTGTCTCCTTCTGTGTCCTTTTTATGGTATATAATGTGTCTCCTTGGTTTAATAGGAGTTATATTAAGTGTCTCCTGTATTTGTTTACCTGATTGGTTAATTAGTAAGGAAATAAATTATAGATATATGTATAGGAGCGAAGAAAAGCATCAATTATATAAGGAGACTAAATGGGGACTATATAACATATCCTTTGATGGGGGGAGACAGTTAATAAGTTGGCCTAATAGGGTAGCAACAAGTAATGAATCAATAAGTGCTGCAGTATTATTAGGACAGCAGCAGCAGCAGCAGCAGCAGCATGCAGCATGGGCTGCACAATGCCCTTCTTCTTGCCAAGATGCATTAACTACTAGATTATCTTGCTATAAGAGATTATCTAATGTTAATACATTATTATTAGGTATTATTTGTTTATGTACAGGTATAGTATTATTATCTATTGGGTACTTTTTTTTATTTGGTAAATTTATGTTATTAATTGTATCCTGTCTCCTTTTTTCTTCCTTATTGTCTCCTGCTGCTGCTGCATATTGGCTATGGGAGACACATACCTGTTTTAATATGATTGTACTTGCCCAACAATTCCATATGCCTACTATATCTTATTCTTTTTTTCTTATGATTGCTGCAGCAGTATTATATTTTATTGCTACTCTTACTGCTATTGCTGCAGAGATGATAGATAGGAGACAGGAAAGGAGACAAAAAGAATATATTAAACAACAAGCAATACTTGAGCATGCTGCAGGTCCTGATGCATTTTCTCCTTCTCCTATATTACCTATGCCTAATCCTGCATTATTACCACCAGGTTATGGACCTACAACACCTATCATGGGTGGTGGACCTGGAGGGGGGCCCCCAGCAGGGGGCCCTATGGTAGGGGTAGGGGGACCGCCGGGTAGACCCTCTATGATGATGGGACCACCAGGTATGATGGGAACACCTTATCCTGGGGGGCCCCCATTCCCTGGTGGACCCATGCCAGGACCGGCAGGCTATCCAGGCGGACCACCAGGGGGCCCGGCAGGCATGATGCCAGGGGCAAGAGGAATGATGGGCATGCCGGGGGGCAGACCATCCATGATCGGGGGGGGGCCCCCAGGTATGATGGGGGGCCCCACTAAACCACCACCTATGCAAAGTCTTAGTATGAGACCACCCATGTAACCAGAATTCATAGGATTCAACCATTCATAGCACCACCACCATTAGCGCCATCAGCAGCAGCAGCAGCAGCAGCAGCAGGAGTAGGAGTAGGATTGGGTGGGTGCAGCAGCAGCAGCAGCAGCAATGGCAGCAAGGATACGTAACATAAGAAGAAGACCACAACTGTCATTGTATGCATAAGCAGCACAAACATCTATGTTGTTGCAGCAACTTAGACAACAATAACTGCAGCAAATGCTGCAACCGCAACAACAAAGGAGAAGCAGCAGCAGCAGCAGCAACAGCAGCAGTAGGAATCGCAACAGCAGCAGCAGCAGCTGGATCTTCTTCTCCAACATTCGCAGATTTTAGTTCAGAATATCAGCAAAAGGGAATCGCTGCAACAGCAACAGCAGCAGCAACAGCAACTGGTGCTGCAGCAACAGTTGCAGCAGCAGCAGCAACAGCAGCAGTTACTGCATCAGCAGCAACAGCAGCAGTTGCTGCAGCAGCAGCACGTCTCAGGGAAGGGACACCACTTCCCATGGAGGCGGCAGCGCACACAGCACCAACAACAGCAGCAGCAGCAGCAAGAGTTGGGCGGACTGGGTGGAGACAAAGCAGCAGCAGCAGCTGCTGCTGCACTAACAGCAGCAGCAGCAGCAGCAATTGCTGCTCTGGTGGAGCTCTGAAACAGAGACTGGTAGCCCATAATGTGTTGCTGCAGATTGTCGTGTTGCTATGCCTGCTACTGGTGCAGCAGGGAGCAGCAACTGCAGCAGGAGCAGCAGTTACAGCACGACCAACTGCAGCAGCAGCTGCAGCGGCAGCAGCAGCAGCAGCAGCAGCTGATTGTCTATACACCTGACGGGGTGTATGTTGAGTGCTGATGTTAGACATTTAAGGAAGCCGTTTGTTTGCCTTTTGTTTTGTGGGGCCCCTGGTTGGTGTTGCTGCCTCAGCAGCAAAAAGCATGCAGCAGCAGCTGCTGCTGCTGCAGCAGCAGCAGCAGCATGGGCTGCTGAAGCTGCAGAGACACCGCAACAGGGAAGGCTGTCATATTGTGCAGCAACTTTAACATTTCAAGTTCCACGAGATTTAGAATTCATTGTAGCAACAACAATAACAGCAGCAGCAGCAGCTGCTGCTGCTGCAACTGCAGCAGCAGCAGCAGCTGCTGCTGTTTCTGCTGCAGCCGGTATGTAGTTTGGACAGATATTGATAGCCGCAGCAGCAAACATACACAGAATTAGAAGTAGCAATAGGTAGACATACACCCAGCAGTAGCAGTAGCAGTAGCAGCAGCAGTAGCAGCAGCAGTAGCAGCAGCAGCAGCAGCGGCAGCAACGCTAAGGCTTATAGAAGGGAGCTAATTGTTATAGGACTACTAAGATCAGGTACTGAGCGATGTGTCCATACAGCCCAACAGCAGCTGCTGCTGCAGTAGTAGTAGACTGTATGCTGCTGCATATGAGACCTACAGGCAGCAGCAGCAGCAGCAGCAGCAGCAGCAGCAGCAGGCTAGATGCTTCTGTTGAGCTGTCAGCAAAAGAGTCCAGCAACTACACTGTAGCTATATTATTGTATCATTGCAGCAGCAACAGCAACAGCAGCAGCAACAGCAGCAACAGCAACAGCAGCAGCAGCGACAGCAGCAACAGCAACAAGAGCTAGTCAACACAATAATTTATGCATGCATGCGGACAAGTTCCCCACATAGCAAGCGGGAGATAGAAATATATATTGGAGACAGCACAGCTGCTGCAGCAGCAGCTGCAGCAGCTGATGCTGCTGCTGATGCTGCTGTTGCAGCTAATGCTGCTTAGTTTGCCTCCTACTGTCTCTAAGCCTAATTTGCTGCTGCGCAACACGGGCGCAGCAGCAAGCCTGCTGCAGAGACTGCTGCAGCAGGTGGACACCAAAGCCTCTAGCTGCAGTTGCTGCTCCTGCAGCAACTGCAGCAACAACAGCTGCAGGTGCAGCAGCAGCACTGGCTGCTGCTGCACCTGCTGCAGTACTTATGCCTCATACAGTTGTGAATATTTATTGGTTGCTGCTGCAACGTTATTATACAAGAAGCAAGTTACTTCTTGCTGCTGCTGCTGCTGCTGCTGCTGCTGCTGCTGCTGCTGCTGTTTTTTTGTCTCCTTGCCGTTGCTGCATCAGCAAGAAGATGAGTACTTGTAACTCTAGTTACTTCTTGCTGCTGCTGCTGCTGCTGCTGCTTTTTTGTCTGCTTGCCTTTGCTGCATCAGCAAGAAGATGAATAGTTTTAGCTCTAATAATTACTTCTTGCTGCTGCTGCTGCTGCTGCTGTTGCTGCTTTTTTGTCTCCTTGCCTTTGCTGCATCAGCAAGAAGATGAATAGTTTTAACTCTTCTTTGTCCTTGCCTTAATTCCTTGAGTGTCTCTGCATGCGTTAATCCTGTTTGTCTTTTTATTTTCTTTTCTTCTTTTGCTGCTGCATTCTTTTGCTGCAGTTGCTGCTGTCTTTGCTGCGCTTGCTGCAGTGTTAATTCTCCTCTATCTATACGACGCAGCAATGCCTTCTGTCTCCTCTCCTTCTGTCTCCTTCTTGCTGCTCTTCTTTCTTCTCTTGTTGTCTCTGCTGCTGACTTCATTGTTACTGGTAATGCTGTCTCCTTTCTGCTGCTGCTGCTGCTAGCAGCAGCAGCAGCAGATGGTGCACCAGGTACAAAGACAGGGATAGCTTCCTCAACCCGTATTGTTGCAGGAGCATCCTTACCACCTTCTCCTGCTGCAGCAGCAGCAGCAGCAGCAGCAGCAGCAGGTCTAGGTACATAATGATAGTTCGTTAGGGCATCACATTTATACATAATTTTACCAAATAATTCAAGTAGCTGCTGCTTCTCCTTATCTAGCTGCTGCTGCTGCAGAGAAGGGACACCTAATACTTGCTGCTGGTACTCTCTTGCATATATATCCCCTAATCCTTCTGTAGGTTTATCTGTATTAAGTTCATCTTCTGCTGCTGCTGCTGCTGCTGCACCTGTCTTATTACTACCTATACGCTGCTGCTGCTGCAGCTGCTGCTGCTGCAGTGCTAACCCCTGTCTCCTTATTACGTCATCAAAGAGACAACTCTCTATTCTTCCCTTAACAATTTTTTCTATGGTGCTGCTGAGTGTTGCTGCTGCTGCTGCTGCACCTTTAGAGGATATAGCAGCAGCAGCAGCAGCAGCAGCAGCATTTTCTTCATCATCATCATCCCCCATACTTAGTTGTTGCTGTTGCAGCAGCAGAAACTGCTGCTGCTGCTGCTGCTGCTGCATATAAGGAATTGTTAGGTCCTCTACCTGCAGCAGACTGTCTTTCTCCCTCTGCCTACCCCATACCTCCCCTGTTAATTCCCATCTTTTTGCTGCTATTAATTCTTCCTCTAATTCCTCTATACGTGCTGCTAGTGCTGCTAAGGATTTACTCCCTCCTCCTGCTCCTGCTGCACCATCTGCTGCACCTCCTGCTGCTGCTGCTGCTGCTGTAGAAGAAGAGCTCCCTTTGTCGCGTTCTTTACGGCTCTTTTTACTCTTTGCTGCTGCTGCTGCTGCTGCTGCTGCTGCTTCTATATCATCTTCGTCTTCCTCATTGCTGCTGCTGTTATCCTCATCCATCCCTTCTTCTTCTTCTCCTTCTTCTTGTTGTTGCTGCTGCTGCTGCAGCAATAACTTTTGCTGCTGTTTCTGCTGCATACGTTTTTTTTTTGCTTCTTTTTTTTCTTCTTCTTCTTGTTGCATTAATAATTGTAGACGATTTAATTCTTCCTCTAATTTCTTCTCTTCTTTATCTAATTTATTACTATTAGGGAAGACTAGTCCTCCCTCCTCCTCCTCCTCTTCCTCCTCTTCCTCCTCTTCCTCCTCTTCTCCGCTGCTGCTCCTCCTGCTGCTCTTGCTGCTGTTGGGACTGTTGCCGTCATCGTCGTCGCTGTTGCTGCTTGTTGTTGTTGTAGATATCCTACGACGATTCTTTTTATACCCTTCTTCTTCTTCTTCCTCCTCCTCCTCCTCCTCGTCGTACTCCTGCTGCTGCTGCTGCTGCTGCTGCTGCTGTTTTTTCTTCTTCTTAGGTTTACCATAGAGTGCCTCATAAGATAGAGAGCTTATGTCTTCTGCTGCTGTGTCTATACCCTCATACAGCAGCAGATCTGCTGCTGCTGCTTCCTCATCTTCTTCGCTACTATCATCATTACTGTCTTCTTCCTCATGCTGCTGCTGCTGCTGCTTCTTCTTCTGCTGCTGCTGCTGCTTCTGCTGCTCTCTCTTCTCCTGCTGCTCTGCTTCCTCTACAAAACGATGCATCTCCTCTAAGGAAAAAAATTCATCATCTAATCCATGCTTACCTTTCTTGCGTCCCTTCTGCTGCTGCTGCTGCTCCTGCTGCTGCTGCTGCTGTTGCTCCTCCTCCTCATCCTCTTCTTTCTTCTTAGCGTCCCTCTCTAGTTCTGCTAAGAGATCGTCATCAGCACCATCTGAATCCTCATCTTCTTCCTCGTCACTTGCTGCTGCTGCTGCTGCTTCTGCTGCTGCTGCTGCTGCTTCTTCATCAGACTCCTCATCATCATCATCGCTACCTTCTTCTTCCTCCTCCTCTGATCCGTCTGCTGCTGCTGCTGCTGCTGCTGCTTCGTCATCCTCTTCTTCTTCATCTTCTTCTTCGTCCTCTTCTGCTTCTGCTGCTGCCGCTGCTGCTGCTGCTGCAGTATCTTCCCCATCCTCCTCCATAGCTGATTCTCCTGTCTCCTCTTCCTCCTCTCCTCCTGTCTCCCCTTCCTCCTCCTCCTCCTCTTCCTCCTCATCTGTCTCCTTTGCTGCAGTTAGCTTCAGCGCCTCTACAGCCTCTGGCCTTAATAGGTGCAGCACCATCTGCTGCTGCTGCTTCTCCTGCTGCTGCTTCTGCTTCTGCTGCTGCTGCTGCTGCTGCTGCCTAGGACCCGTAGATATACCACAGTGCTGCTGCGCCCTCTTTAGTCTCTTCCTTGCTCTGCGTATACATGGTGCTGCTTCGCTGTCTAGCAGCTCCCATACTTGTTCTATATTCAGCTGCTGCTGCTGCCGCTGCTGCTGCTGCTGCTGCTGCTGTTCGGGTGTCTGTGCATCATCTGCAGGTGCTAATACAGCCTTTTCAAGGTCTTGTAGCTGCTGCAGATAAGCGTCTTGCTGCGCTGCAGCAACAGCAGCACGAGCCCTTCTTTGTCCCCTTGATGGGGGGGCATCTTCCTCCTCTGCTGCTGCTGCTGCTGCTGTTGCTGCAGCAAGGGACCGCAGACGAGACACACATAAAGCTAATGATCTACGCTGGTTTGTTGCAGCTGCTTCTGGCCGCAGCAGCTGCCCAGGGGCTGCATGCACAGCAGCAAGCCATTCTTCTACCTCCTCAAGGTGTGTATCCTTCTTTTCTTCTGGTGCTGCTGTTGTCGCTGTTGTTTCCTCTTCTTTTCCTGGTCCTGCTGCTGCCGCTGCTGCTACTGTTTCTGCTGCTTCTGCTGGCGCAGGGGCCGCTGGCTTTGTTGCAGCCGACCCCATCGCGCCCACCTGAGGGATGAAGCAGCTGCAGCAGCAGCAGCGGCAGCAGCAGCTGGTGTAAGAGGAAGAAGTGCTACCTGCTGCTGCTGTCTTCTTTGTCTATATTAAACTCAAGCAGCAGAACACTGCCGCAACTTCCCTGTAGCTGCTGCTGCTGCAGCTGCAGCTGCAGCTGCTGCTGCTGCAGCTACTGCTGATCTGGGTGGTCCCCTGCCTAGGTCGTTGCTGCTTCTGCTGCAGCAAGGAGGAAGCAAAGCTTAAAAAAAGGGGATTCAACACAGAAGGCAGCAGCAACTTATCGATATCTGCTGCAGCAGCTGCAACAACAACAGCAGCAGCCCCGCAGCAGCCCCTATGGGGCCCCACGCTCTCCTGCTGCTGCTGCTGCTTGCAGTGTTACATTGTTAAATAAGATCTTCTTTAATTATTTTTTATTTAATTTATTTATTTAAATAAAAAACACACAAATATAAATTCTCTGAGGTACTGTAGCAGTAGCTCCAGCAGCAGCAGCAACACCAGGATCAGCAGCAGTAGCAGCAGTAGCAGCAACAGCAGCAGCAGTTAATAGAGGTAAAAGGTATATAACAATTATTAATAATTCGTCTTCCTCCTATATTAGTGTTAGTGTTAGTATGGAGGTACCTGTAAGGGTTTAGGGTTTAGGGTTTAGTAAGGGTTTAACGGTAGGAAACTTTGCTGCTGCCCCGTTGACTGTCTGCGGCATTGAATGGTCTTGCTGTTGCTGCTCCTGCTCCTGCTGCTAAAAGTCTTGTCTATATGAGGGTGTACTGTGCAGCAGAAGCAGCAGCAGCAGCAGCAGCTGCTGCTGCTGCTGCTGCTGTTGCACCATTTGCTGCTGACGCCGCCAGGAGAAGACTCTCGTATACGACAAGTCGAAAACGGGCAGATAGAGGAAGAATATATTCGATGGCTATCTAGCTGGCTAGCTAGCTAGCCAGCTAACAAGCCAGGCAGCTAACAAGCCAGCCAGCTAGCTAGCTAGTCATCTAGCTCTCTTTAGCTAGCTAGCAAATTAATAATCGTTATAAGGGGTACGACCAAGGCAGCTCTGTTGTAGGTAGCTGTGGCTAGCTGTATCTACGTACAATGTCAATAGCTAGCTGTGGCTAGCTGCATCCGGTTGTGGCTAGCCAGCTGTGCTCCAACTGCAGAGACTCCCGTGGGGCCCCTAAGGGCACAAGAAGCAGCAGCAACCTGCAGGTGCAGCAGTCTGCAGCAGCAGCAGCAGCAAGATGCATGAGCAGCAGGCAGCACCTACAATGAATAAAAGGGGACAAACAAACGAATCAGACTTATACAAGAAAAGAAGATTAGCAAAAGAAATTATCCAAGACAGCCAAGGGCCCCTCCCCCCTACCCCCCTTTTAATTGGTGTGGGGCCCCGGGGGCCCCCCAAGTGGGCACTGAGGCGCCCCCGGGGAACCCCAAGAGGGCACCAGGGGGCCCCAAGAGGGAAACGGGGGCCCCCGTAGGGTCCCCACAAGAATCGTAGGGGGCCAACTTAAAAGAAATTGCGGTACCCCTAGATGTACAGTAAACTCTACAACGGTCTCTACATAAGGGCCCCCAAGGGGCCCCCGCCAATGCTACACTAGGGCCCCCTGGGGCCAAAAGGGGCCCCTTCATGCTAGGGTGGAGCCCAAGCCAGCATAGAAGACTAGGGGGGGCCCCAGGGATTGACAGCTAAAAAGGAGAGGAACGGGGGCCCCAACAGGCAACGCAACAAATGAGCTGAACCCATTCCTTAATTAAATAGATGCAGTAGAACCCAAGGCAACTGCTGCTGCAGGTGCTGCGGCTGCTGCTGTTGCTGCTGCTGTTGCTGCTGCTGTGAGGGAATAACTGCAGCATTCTATCTCCAGTAATTCTACTGTATTCAGCACTGCACTGCTGCAACACAGCAGCGGGATGGGAGGCTACGCAAGCCCAGCAGCAGCAGCGGCAACGACAGCAGTTGCTGCTGCTGCTGCTGCTGCAGCTTGTGACTGCAGCGAGCAAGAAGGAGCTCCTGGTGATGACAACAGTTAATGACACAAAGTAGCAAAGGAACTGAAGGCCAAGAAGAAAAAAGTGACACTAAACAGCCACTATTGCTGCTGCTGCTGCTGCTGCTGCTACTGCTGCTGCTGGAAGGTACAGAACACCTAGACGCAGCAGCATGAGGAGCAGCAGCATCCCCTGCTGCTCCTCATGCTGCTGCTGCGACAACTACATTGAAAGACACGAGTAGCGTGATTATCAAGCCTCCCCGCCAATTAGTCAGCCCTGCAGCAGAAACAGCAGCAGCAGCAGCAGCAAAATGCATGCGCAGTGACGCATTCTATCTACTTGTTGAGCAGCTCACAAGAAGCAGCAGCAACCACCAGCAGAAGATGAATTACAGTGCATATACCCTCTACAGCAGCAGTAACAGTAACAACAGCAACAGCAGCAACAACAACAACAACAACAGCAGCAGCAGCAGCAGCAGCAGGAACTTGCCTGCAGTTTCTCCTTGCTCTTATGTTCAAGGAAATTTTTTATAATAAGTTTAACATCTTTTGTATCTGACTCTAACAAACCCGTCAACAATTCCTCCATCCAACTCTCTGAGCATGCTTGGCTATTCTGCAGCAGCAGCAGCAGCAGCAACAGTAGCAGCAGCAGCAGCAGCAGCAAACAGCACAGCAAAAGCATACATGTGTAACACTTGAAACCCCCCACCAGACTCTTTGAATGTCTGCAGCAGCGACAGGCAACAGCTGCAGCATCATCATCTATCAGCAGCAGCAGCAGCAACAGCAGCAGCAGCGGCAGCAGCAATACCTCTGGAGGGCGGAACAGGTTAAGGGCTGCAACAATCCTTGGATCATTGATTAGAGCAGCAATTTGCTGCTTTGTTGCTGCTGGTGTGCCGTCGTTGCCCTTCGTCTTCGCATCAACGGCCCTGTAGCAGCAGCAGCAGCAGCAACAGCAGCAGCAGCAACAGCAGCAGAACAAGGACAAAAATGTACATGCATTGTGCTGTGAGGTTACGAGGCCCCACAGAAGCATTTGTTCCTCCTTTAGTTACAGCTGCTGCTGCTGCTGCTGCTGCTGTTGCTACACCTGGTCTTGCTGCTACTCCTAAACTCCTGCTGCTGCTCCTGCTGCTGCTCCTGCTGCTGCTCCTGCTGCTGCTGCTGCTGCTGCTGCTTACTTGACAAGGGTACTAAGAAGTTGATATATACTGCCTGTATAATCGAGCAGCAAAGAGGCACCGCTGCCTGCTACATCAGCACCACTAATATATTTTTGTAAGGGAGTGCTTCCTTGCTCCCTCTGCTGCTCCTGCAGCCCTTGCTGCTGCAGCAGCTGCTGCTGCAGAGAATCACCGCCAAATGCCAAGGGATCAAACTGCCTGAAAAAATAAACACAGAGATACGCATTTTGCTGCTCTTGTTGCTGCTGTTGCTGCTGCTCTTGCTGCTGTTTCTGTTGCTGCTGCTGCACGTACTCCAGCACAGTTGATTATTTAAGGAATATACAGACTGCACCAGCACCAGCAGCAGCAATAGCGGCAACAGCAGCATTAACAGCAAAAGCCGCAGCAGCAGCAGCGACAGCAACAGCAGCAGCAGCAGCAGCAGCAATTGTGCTATACGTACGTGACTTCTAAGTAATAAGAAAGAAGTTGAGATAAACTCATAAAACATAAATCTAATAAACAAGGAGGAACAGGAGAAGGTAGCTTGGCTATAGTCTTCCCTACAGCACGCAGCACAGCCTGCAGCAGCAGCAGCAGCAACAGCAGCAGCAGCAGTAGCAGTTGGAGGGCCGGAGGAGAGAAAGTAGGGGAGGATACCACTGCTGCTTGCAGCTCAGATGCAGCAGCAGCAACAGCAACACTAGCAGCAACAGCAACAGCAACACTAGCAGCAACAGCAGTAGCAGCGCCAGCACCAGCAGCAACACTAGCACCGACACCAGCAGCAGCAGCAGCAGCAGCAACAGCAGGATTACATGTCCTTGATGTATAATAGTGGGTATAGGCCATCTTTGTAACTCAATAACAGCAGCAACAAGAGGCTGCAGGAGGGCGGGGTTATAATAGACCCCTAGGCGCAGATCGTTGGCGCTGCTGTTGCTGCTGCTGCTGCTGCTGCTGCTGCTGCTGCTGCTGCTGGTAGGGAGACTGTTGTTGCTGTCCTGACGAGCGCATGCAGCTGTCTCATCATCCTCTGCAGGAGATGCGGAGACAGCAGCACCTGCATGCAGGTTGCCAAAGGTGCTGCTGGGTGGTGTCTTGGCCCCGCTGCTGCTGCTGTTGCTGCTGGCTGCTGCTGCTGCTGCAGCAACAAGCGAACTCGTCTTGTGGTGCAGCAAGGATCCTATCTGCTGCAGCAGCACGTCGCCAACATTACTAAGGGCATACAGCCGCTGCAGATACACCCCAAGTCGTCTCTCTTCTTCTTTGCTGCTGCTCTTGCTGCTCTCTAATGCTGCCTTCGTGTCTGCTATTGCTGACCATTCCCTCCGCAGCCGCTGCAGCAGCGGCAGCAAACCCTCGTTGACGAAGAACAGCAGCAGCTGAGCAACAATAACAACAACAGCAGCAGCAGCAGCAACAGCAACAGCAACATTAGTAATCTATCTAATCTGCCACTATTATATTACTACAAACAGTTCTATAACCGCGTAACACCAGCAGCAACAGCAGCAGCAACAGCAGCAGCAGCAACGCCAAGAACAGCAACAACAACAACAACAACAACAACAACAACAACAACAACAACAACAACAGCAGCAGCAGCAGCAGCACCAGCAGCAAGAAATACTTACCTGTTGTGATGGGTATGGAGGTTGTGGTGGTAGTGTATCTGGATCTAATACCTGTCCCCAGAAGAATCTAAGTTGCTGCTCAACTTGCTGCAGCGGGAGTTGCTGCTGCAGCGGCTGCAGCAGCAGCAAGGATAATTTATTAGGTAAATTATCATAAAGGAAGAAGGCATCAGCAGCAAGAGAACAAATACCCGCTAATCTATACGCAAGAGTTCTTAGATGATAGCAGTGTCTCCTTGCTAATAGGACAGATGCCTCTCTTTCCCCAATACCATTGTTGTTGTTGCTGCTGCTGCTGGTGCTGCTGCTGCTGTTGGTGCTGCTGTTTGTATTGGTCGTTGGTCCGGTTGTGCTGCTGCTGCTGCTGCTGCTGCTGCGGCGACAAGGGAAAGTTTGTAAGACAGCACGAGGAAGGGCAGAAGAATCTGCTAAGGAGGAGACACTTCCTTGTACAGCTAAATATTCATCTGTCCCTGGCTCTAATAGTTCAGCTAGGTAAGGGAACGCTCTTGTATTTGCCTGCAGCAGCAGCAGCAGCAGCAGCAACAGCAGCAACAGCAGCACCAACACGAGGACGATGGGAAAGCAGCAGCAGCAGCAGCAGGAAGAAAGTGCAGCAGCAAGAACTAAAACGGAACAAAAACAGCCGTAAGAACACAGACATCATAACACAACAGCAGCAACAGCAACAGCAACAGCAACAGCAGCAGCAGCAGCAACGGCAACAGCGGCAGCAACAGCAACAGCAGATATGTACCTCATCTGTCCATATCTGCTGCAGCCTAGAGATGATCTCGAAGAGACAAGGCAGCAAACTGGTGACTATTGCTGCTAATGGGTGTCTCCTAGGCAGCACAGGCTTCTGCTGCTGCTGCTGCTGCTGCAGGAGCTCATGTAAGCATTGAGGGAAAGGTTTCCTCAGTTCCTCTTCGTCAGCAACACGGAATGGGCTATCTAGTTGTACTACTTTGGTGCTGCTGCTACTGCTGCTGCTGCTGCTGCAGCACTCCACCAGGTATCCACCAGCACGAGCAGCCTCTATGTCTGTTGGCACTGTTGTCCTTTTTATTGAACTCTCCAGAGATGACAGTACACGAGCAAAAGCCCTCCTGCAGCAGCAGCAGCAGCAGCAGCAGCAGCAGCAGCGATAGCAGCAGCAACAATAGCAGCAAAGTGCAACAATTGCAGCAACAAAGAAGGAGAAAGATACAACAATGCAGTATGGCTGTATAAGACGACACCACCTGCACCATCAGAAACCCAGCAGCAGCAAGTGCAGCAGCAGCAGCAGCAGCAGGAGCAGCAGCAAGAGCAGCAAACAGACCTTCTTTTGGCTGCTTCTTCCTCTTCTTGTAGTGTCTGCTCATTCCTAACATCCCCAAACAAAAAAAAGATAAGTCCTGCAGTTGGTGGGAGTGCAGCAGCAGCAGCAGCAGCAGCAGCAGCAGAAATAGCAGCAGGATGTCCATTAGTCCCTTTAGCAAGAATTCTCTCCTTTTGCTGCTCGACCTCCTCCAGTAGCTGCGCTAGTGCAGCAACAAATCTCTCTACTAGAGGGACAGTGTGCTGCTGCTGCAGCGCGAACATTCTTGTTGAGGAGACAAGAGACACAAATGCCTCTACTAACAGTCCCCTCTCCGATTGCAGCAACTGCAGCAGCAACAGCAGCAGCAACAGCAGCAACACACACCAACACAAATTGAATCAGCAACAAGCAAATCAACATAACACCGCAACACAAACAGCAGCAGCAGCAGCAGCAACAGCAGCAGCAGCAACAGCAGCACAACTAACATAGCACCTCAACAAACCGTGTTGCACACCTATACAACCAGCCCCACCACCATGAACAGCAGCATCAGCAGCAGCATCAGCAGCAGCATCAGCAGCAGCATCAGTAGGAGGAGGAGGAGGAGGAGGAGGAAGAAGAAGAAGAAGAATAGGAGTACGAACCTGATGTTCATGATTAGTTTCTTGCATTTTATTTTGTACATGTTGTAATAATAGAGGTAAATATTGTTGTATAGATTCAGCAACATTACTACTTATAAATATAAGTGTCTGTAAGGAACGACGACGGCATAGTTGTGTTTGTTGTGCTGCTGTTAATGGATATGACCATATACTCTCTATTTGCCCAATATTATTATTATTATTATTATTATTATTATTATTATTCTCTCTAGTAGATAATATACTGCAGCAGCAACAGCAGCAGCAACAGCAGCAGCAACAGCAACTTTTAGGAGCAGCAACAGGAGGAAGAACAGGAACAGCAGGACGAACACGAGGAACAGGAAGAGGAAGGGTATACAGATAATGTAATAGAAATGGCAAACAGATCGAAAGGAGAAACACAAACAAGATTATTCATCATCAGCAACAGCAACAGCAGCAGCAGCAACAGCAGCAGCAGCAGCAGCAACAGCAACAGCAGCAACTGCAGCATACTGTTGGAAGAGAAGATCAAGTACATGTTTAGGATCAAGAGGAGGAGAATATTAAATAAGCACGCAAAACAACAGCAGCAGCAAGATAATCAGCAGGAGGAGGAGGAGGAGGAGGAGCAGCAGCAGCAGCAGGAGCAGCAGCAGCAGCTTACTGTTGGAAGAGTAGATCTAGTACATGTTTAGGATCAAGAGGAGGAGAATATTTAATAAGATGTGCAGCACCAGAGACAAACTCTAATCTTCTTGATTCAAGTAAATAATCATGAATAGATAGATCTATTTTATTAAATTCTGCTGCTGCTGCTGCTGCATCTCCTGTTGCTGCTGCTGCTGCTTTAGCACGATCTGCTGCTTCTACTGCTGCAGCAGCACGATCTGCATCATATAAAGGGGTACGTACTAAACCCTCAAAGACACGACACAGGCGCAGCAGCCATGGGGAATCTGCTGCATGCTGAGGCAGCAGCCAGGCAGTAGCAGCAGCATTTGCTGCTGCTGCACTACCTTGCTGCGCTGCTGCTGCTGTTAAGCATGCACTCTTTAGCCGCTGCACCTGTGCCTCTACAAAGGAGCAGCAAGCATCTAAGAATATATATGCAGGGAATAATAAAGGTTGGCTCTTATCCATTAATTCATATTGCTTCCCTGCTGCTGCTGCACGCAGCACCAGCAGCAGCAAAGAATCAGGTGTATCCTGACGACGCAGCAGCAAAGAAGAAGATAATAATTGCCTGCAGATCTCTTCTGTCCATTCTGTTGTCTCCTCTGCATACATATACATATACACACAATATACACAAACTCCTGCAGCAGCAGCAACAGCAAGAGGAGGAGCAACAGCAGCAGCAGCAACAACAACAGCAGCTGAAGTAGCAACCGGAGTAGTAGCAGCAGCAGCCGCAGAAACGACAGCAGCAGCAGCAGCAGCAGCAGCAGATCTAACCTGCAGCAGCAGGAGAGAGGCCAATGAGTGTCGTTAGGCCTAAGAGAGCAGAAGACTTTAGACCAGCAAAACGAGCAGGAAAATTCTAAGGCACAGCAGCAGCAGCAGCAGCACACGCAGCAACAGCAAATTACAGCAGCAGCAGCAGCAGCAGCACGAGCAGCAGCAGCAAGGACAAAGAGCAGCCCGTTGCAGCAACATCAACAGGAAATGCACCAACAGCAGCAGGCAACAACGCAACAACGACAGCAGAGATTCTGGAGGAGCAGAACCACCACAAACAGCAGCAGCAGCAGCAGCACAAGCAGCACAAGAAGCAGCAGCAGCAGCAGCACAAGCAGCAGCTGCTGCTTCTTCTTAACATCTGCAACTCACATCTGATGAATCTCTTGCAACTGCATCCTCCGCCTTCGCGTACATGGCAATCTGTAAAGAGCAACAGCAGCAGCAGCAGCAGCAGCAGCAGCAGCAGCAGCATGAAGACTCAGCATTCGTCAGCCAAAAGTGTCAACAATAATTTCTTCAAAATAACAAATGTTGATGGGGTGTATAGGGAGGTAATTGAGGTGTACAGGGAGATATTTATGGTGTATAAGGAGGCAACTGAGGTGTATAGGGAGGTATTTATGGTGTATAGGGAGGTATTTATGGTGTATAGGGAGGTATATTTATGGTGTATATGGAGGTAATTGGGATGTATAGGTAGGTAATTGGGGTGTATAGGGAGGTAATTGGGATGTATAGGTAGGTAATTGGGGTGTATAGGGAGATAATGTTACTAACATTACGTAGCCAATGATGACAATTAGGGAAAGGAAGAGGATTAATAACATTTAATGCTTTTATTGCTGCCTCTAATGATCGTAGCTGGGATAGCATGTCTTGCTGCTTCTCGTGCATGCGTTGCTGCTCTTGTTCATCCTGCTGCTGCTGTTGTTGTTGCTGCTGCTGTTGCTGCTGCTGCTGATGAGTAAGGATATCTTGTTGTACCTGCTGACGACGTGCTGCTAATGCTGCAATTGCTGCTGTTGCTGCTGATTTAGATCCTCTCTCTACTGCATCTAATAGATGGAGAGCAGCAGCATCTAGTGCAGCAACAGCAGCAGGATGCATAAGACGAACTATCTGTGGATCCCCTACACGGAGACACCTAACAAAGGTAACAGATAATAATGCTCTTGTATTTAGCCATTGGGGTACTTTCTGCTGCTGCTGCTGTTGCTGCTGCTGCTGCTGCTGAGATGCATCCTCAGCTGTTGATGCAGCAGCAAGCTTACGCAGCAGCGCAGCAGCAGCAGCAATCCCTAGACCAGATACACGGACAGAGGGATGAGTAGCAACACGAAGAATACCCGTGCATAATAAAGCGCCTAATAAGGCAGGATCGAAGTTACGCAACACCTGCAGCAGCAGCAACAGCAGCAACAGCAGCAGCAGCAACAGCAACAGCAGTTGCAATTTGAGCTGCAGCTGAGTAGCAGGTACACTTGCAGCAGCAGCAGCAGTTGAAGCAGCAGCAGGAGCTAATAATTGCAGCAGCAAGAGCAGCAGCAGCAAGAGCAGCAGCAGCAAGAGCAGCAGCAGCAAGAGCAGCAGCAGCAGCAGCAACTTACATAGTCTCCGCAGTTCTCTACGAAGTTCTTAAGGAGACCAGCAACAAGCAACTGTACAGAGAAGAGCTGCGGATACACCCCAATATGCACACACCTCTACCCTTACAGCAGCAGCAGCAGCAGCAGCAGCAGAAATTGAATCAGCAGCACAACAGGAGACGAAGAAGGAGAAGTAGTAGTACCCGATGCAGCAGCAGCAGCAGCAGCAGCAAAGTGCATGCAAGGTTACCTCATCTTCTACGTTATCTCCTACAGGTATAGCAAGAACAGAAGCAACAGACTGCAGCAGCAGGCAGCAAAAGGCAGCAACTGTCTCAGCATTGACGCCCTCTATTGCCTGCAGCACAACAGCAGCAGCAGCAGCAGCAGCAGCAGCAGCAGCACAGTTAGCAGCACAATCCAACCAACTGAGAAGAGAGCCCTACACTGCTGCTGCTGAAAAGCAGCAGCAACAACAACAACAGCAGCAACAGCAGCAGCATCACAGCAGCATCACATCAGCAGCAGCAACAGCAACAGCAGCAGCAGCAGCAATAGCAGCAGCAGCAGCAAATAGATATCTTACAAGTTTTTTTTGTTTTTTCTTAACAAGTCTCTCATTAAGTACATCAAATGCATGCAGCAGCAAACCCTCTACTCCTCTTAGCTCTTCTCCTCCTATACCCCAGCAGCAGAGACACCGTAGTACTACTGCTACGTCTCCTATAGCAGCAAGACACCTGCAGCACATATAGCAGCAGCAGCAGCAGCAGCAGCAGATGAGGAGGAAGAAGAATGGCGGGGAGGTTAAGAGTCATCGTTATTGTTTCTATTGCTGCTTTGCTGCTGCTTATGTTGTGCTGCTGTAGTTGCTGCTGCTGTTGCTGCTGCTGTTGCTGCTGCTGCTGCTGCTGCTGTTGCTGCTGCTGCTGCTGCTGCTAACCTTATACAATCAAGTGCCATTGGCTGCAGACGGCAAAGTGCTGCTGGATCGGAGGTGAAGCGCAGCAGCAAGCAGCGGGACAACTGCAGCAGCAAGTTGCTGCTGCTGCTGCTGCCTAATTCCTTAATAAGGGATTGAACTATCTGACGCCTCTCCTTCCCTTGGAGGCGACACATCAATGTGTTGTTCTCCTGCAGCAGCAGCAGCAGCAGCAGCAGCAGCAACAACAACAACAACAACGACAACAACAGCAACAGCAACAGCAACAGCAATAGACAGATACACACATTAGATGCAGCAGACGGACTCAGCAGCACAGATTGCTGCAGCAACAACAACAACTGCTTGTCCTCCTTTCTCACGCATATGCAGCAGCAGCAACAGCAGCAACAGCAGCAACAGCAGCAACAGCAGCAACAGCAGCAGGCTTCCTAGCTAGGTACCTAATATTTACCTCATTAAGCTCTAATAGTATTTCTAATAGGAGACCAAGAAAGAGGCATGCAGAGACGAAGGCCTGCTCCCGCTGCTGCTGCTGCTGCTGCTGCTGCAGCTGCTGCTGCTGCTCTAGCCGCTGCTGCAGCAGAGAAGCAAGATACTGAGGATCTGCTGCATTTTGCTGCACACTTTGTACAAGACAATCAACAGAGAATCCCGTTGCTGCTGCACCTAGCTGCAGCAGCAGCTGTTTTGTATTTGCTGCTGCTGCTGCACCTGATTTGCTGCAGCAGCACATTGCTGCTAGACACTGTGACGCCTTCATCAGCAGGGAGAAGGTAGGTGCATGCACGTGCTGCGTGACAGCAGCAGCAGCAGCTGCTGCTGCTGCAGGAGGTAACATGGTTATATCCATCTGCTGCAGCAGACCCGATGGTTGCTCTATTAGCTGCAGCACAGCTTGCTGCAGCAGCAGCTGCTGCTGCTCCTTAAGGGTAGTACGCCATGATGATTGTACTGTATCCAGCAGCAGCTGCAGCGCAACAAGCTTTGCTGCCTCATCGAACCGTCTGTATGCATCTGCTGCTGCTTGTGCTGCTGGGGATAGCTGCTGCTGCTGCTGCATTTGCTGCTGCAGTTGCTGCTGCTCTTGCTGCTGCAGCAAAGAGAATGTGCTGCACTTCATAGATAAAGGAGGGAATACAGCAAAAGGGTGCAGCAACCACTGCAGCAAAGGCAGCACGTGCTGCTCCCGCTGCTGCTGCTGCAGCCATACTGTTGCTTGATAGTTACCATCTGCATGCAGCCCCAAAGAATCAGCAACCTTCTGCTTATAGTCAGGAGGCAGCTCAGACCCGAAGGCCTGCTGCAGCAGCAACTGCTGCTGCTGCTGCTGCTGCTGAACTTGGTGCTGCATTGCAACAGCCAGAAGTCATCTACTAAGAGTCAATAAGGGGGGGAATCAACAGGCAGCAGCAGCTGCAGCAAATGAATGCTGCTGCTGCTGCTGCTGCTGCCGCTGCTGCTACTACTGCTGCTGTTGCTGCACGGCGCTGCTGCCTGCAGCTAAGCGACAGACCCCCAGCAGCAGGAAGCTGTCAAGGGTATGGGTTCACACGTCAAGTCGCCGCTCTACTGCTGCTGCTGCTGCTGCTGCTGCTGCTGCTAAGCTATTGTTGCTGCTGCTGCCTTGTTGGTGTGTAGCTAAGAATTAGCAGCAAAGCAACAGATTTATTAAGAAGAAGGAGAGAAGAGACTTAGGAGTGCTGCTGCTGTCCTATATAGGGGGTCGGTGTCTGCTGCTGCTGCTGCTGCTGCTGCTGCTCGTTGGGGCTGCAGCAGCTGCTGCTTTTTCTGCTGCTAATAAACCCTTTATTTATATTAATATAAACAAGACAAACAAAACAAGAAAAAAAAGATTAAATAAAAAAAAGAAAAAATGCCCCACCCCTAAATATACACAAAACAACACCTTTTTGCATGCCCACATATAATAAAGCCCCAAAAAATATATCGGGTGCTGCTGCTGCTGCTGCTGCTGCTGCTGCTGCTGCTGCTGCTGTTGTTGTTGCTGCTGCTGCTGTGGGATGCGTAGTTCTATTGGGATCTATTAGTTATTTAATTATTTTTTATTTTATTTATTTTTATTTATTATTTATTTATTTATTTATTTATTATTTCTTTTCTTTTTTCTTTCTTTTCCTTGTTATTGTTTACTAATACATATTGCATGCAGTTATTAATAGTTAACATATATTAATTCTTTTTTTTTATTAATATAAATATAAATTAATTAATTTAATTTAATTATAATTATAATTATTTATTTTATATTTAATTCATTAACTATTATATATACTTCTCTATTAGTAGTAATAGTATTAATACCCTCCCCTTCTTCTTCTTCTTGTCCTGCAGTGTATGCACAACAAGGGGGGGGAAGAAGAGAAATAAATAAATTAACTGCCTGCAGCAGCAAAAGGGAATGCATGCAAACAAACAAGGATATAAAATGCTGCATGCATGCATGCAGCATAGAGGCAATTAATTACTATTTAGTTGCGCTCGTTGCTGCAGCAGCAAACAAGGAATTGGGGGTTCCTTTATGCCTGCCTGTGTGATGCTGCAGCAGCAGCCAAATAGGTAGGAGCAGCAGCAAGCTGCAGCAGCAACATACAGCAGCAATATGCAGCAGCAGCAGCAGCAGCAAATATCCTAATAAATATACTTATTAAAATTAAATAGTAAAGAAAAAAAAAAAAAATAATTTCCCTCTATTTGTATTTCTATAAAGAAATACAAATCCAACAATCCCCCTGCTGCATGCATGCATGCATACATGCATGCATGCATGCAATAATGCATGCATGCATGCATGCAATAATGCATGCGCTGCTGCTGGCTGTTCGTGCGCTTTGGCGGAAGAGAGAGCAAACAGCCCCACTACTTTAATATTAATAACTACCCTCTATAGCAACTAGCTAGCTAGCCAGCTAGCTAGCCAGCTAGCTAGCTAGCTAGCCAGCTAGCAAGCGAACATGACAGCTAGCTAGCTAGCAGCCATGTAGATGGATCTAAAGAAGAAGCCAAGAGTACCAATACAAACAAACGAATGAACTAGCTAGCAAGCTAGCTAGCTAGCTACCTGCGGACCCCCCGTTAGCTAGCTAGCTATCTAGCTACCTGCGGACCCCCCGTTAGCTAGCTAGCTATCTAGCTACCTAGCTAGCTAGCTAAGAATCATCAAATAGGAGACACCTCAAGCTGGTAGTGACAAAGAGCTACAAGAGACAAACACGCCCTCCGCATTAGCAGCAGCTGCTGCTGCAGCAGCAGCTGCAGCGGCAGCGGCAGCAGCAGCAGCAGCAGCAGCAGCATCCTTTGCTGGCTTTCTCTTAACAGTCACGAGTTTAGGCCGAAGGCGTTCGACTTTAATAGTCGTTGCTGCTGCTGCTGCACCTGTGCCCCTGCTGCTGCTGCTGCTGCTGCTGCTGCTGCTGCAGTTTTAATTGTTATTATTTATGCCGGGGCTGTTGCTGCAGGGATTGCTCGAAGGCCTTAAGACGCTCTGCTAGTGCTGCTGCTTCTTCTAGCTGCCGTTGCTGCTCCTCTAGTTGCCCTGCAGCAGCGCAGCACGAGACAATGCATGCATGTATGCATGCATGCAATAAAAAAGGGGACAACAAAGGATATGTCTCTAATAAAAGGAAAACAACATAAATAAAAAAAACAGCAAAGGAGATAAAAAGGAGACAGCAGCAGCAGCAGCCACGCAGACACCATCCAGAGACACAGCAGCAGCAGCAGCAGCAGCAGCAGAAGGTAAGGGGAGAGACACAACTGCAGCAGCAGCCCCACCTTCTTTAGCTGCATGCTCAGCTGCCTTCCTTGCTGCAGCTTCAAGCAGCTGCAGATGGTCTGAATCGCAGCAACAGCAGCAGCAGCAGCAGCAGCAGCAGCAGCAACAGCAGCAGCAACAGCAGCATGAGTACCAAAGTCCATATCCTCATGCCCCCCAATACCCCAACTAGCTAGCTACCTAGCCATCTAGCCATCTAGCTAGCTAGCTAGCCATCTAGCTAGCTAGCTAGCCATCTAGCTAGCTATCTCTCTACCTATCTATCCATATATGCCTAGAGACCAATCTATCTGTTTATCTTTATATTATACCTTACATGAATTAATTAATTAATTAATTAATTAATTAATTAATAATATTTATTAATTTATTAATTTATTAATTTATTTATATATACCTGTATAAGAAAGTAATGGATTAATTCCTGATAAAGATTTAAGAATAAAAAAAGAGACATCTTTTAATTTAAAATAATTAAAATGACTATTTAATACTCCTAATGAAGATAAATAATGCTCAGCTGTATCCTCCTATATAAATAAATATATAAATAAATAAATATATATATATATATAT